GGGCCCGCCTCCTCAACACCCTGCCACCGACGTCCCGCATGCTGTCACGTCCAGCGCCGGCTCCAGACGTGCCCTGGCGATCCCCAGGCAGCGACCCTAAACATAAATAATTATTAGTCTCCATTTTCATGGGTGTGCATTTTATACCTACTGCCAGGTGTCAGTTTTTGTTCCACGACAGGTATTCCTGTTACCCTCTGGGTATCGGTTCTAAGAATACCCAGAGAGCATCCCCCATTCGCAGGGGGCCGCGCCTGATAGAAGAACTGATAAAAAACTCCCACAGGCCATATCTATTATTATTATTATTATTATTATTATTATTATTATTACTGAACGGATAGCGACATACGAGATATCACATGACAGTATCAATATATATAATTTGCGTTTTCTATCTGTCTGATTGTCTATCTATCGGTATGTCCGTAACGAAAATCTAAGCGTAGGTATTACATCATATATCCGTTATTTTTGTTCCGATTAAAGCGTGTGATGCGTTAAATTAAATGTGAGGGGATAAGTAATATATTAAGATAGCAAAACAAACAAAGCAACTACCAAAAGGGCACTACACTTTATTATCGTTTTTAACAAATATATAGTGACATACAAGATATCACTTGACAGTATGGTTGATAATAGACACATTCAAAATAAAGGCCATAAGCTATCTTTAATTAAAAAATACAGACATAATTGTGAATGACGAACTTGAGACAAACAGTTCTCCCCTCCTCAACCTATTCAGTTAAAGACTATAAAGTGTAAACACATACCAAAAATAGATCCCATTTCCATTCGTTAGACTTATCCATTCATATGTCACTCAACGTAAAATCACGGTAAAAATGCGAGTTCACTTCTCAGCCTCTTTTACTCCTACAGCAGGAGCTCAACAAGGTTCCGTATTGGCACTTATACACTACACGATATACAATAGCGACTTCCCTAATCTACGTAGCACTCGCACCCTCACTTTACTCTACGCAGACGACACTGCTCTCGTAACAACATCTGGAAATGCAGATGCTCTATGTAGGTTTGGTCAACATTACCTTGACCTGGTGGACAGCTGGTGCGGGAGATAAAGAGTAACATATAACCCTAATAAAACATAATTGATTCTCTATAGACACAATTTAGCCGCAAGAAGGACCTCAGACTCTGGGGCGATCGACTCCAGCTCCGTAGCCAGATAGAGTACCTCGGTGTGGTGTTCAAATTCACAATTATATCTATATATTGTTAGGTTCCTATTTATTAATTAAATATATGCACAATTCATAACTTTCTTCTTAAAGTGCCATCTTCGCGATGAAGGTTGGCAATCATCATGGCTATTCTGACCTTCGAGGGAGCTGCTCTCAACAATTGCCTTGATCTGCAACCAAACCACTCTCTCAGGTTCTTCAACCAGGAAACGCGTATTCTTCCTACGCTTCTCCTACCCTTTATCTTTCCTTGAATTATGAGTCTAATATTCATAACTATATAACTTTTACTAATAAATTTCTGAAAAGGACCATTTTAGCTCAAACTCTTTCACTTCTGACCAACCTGAACACCACCTCCTCCGCAGAACTACAGTCACCGACGCGTCCCACCAGTGAGCACAACGCAGCGACACAATGTCGACACCAAACCAAAACAAACCACGTCCTGAAAAGGTGTCCCACCTAAAACACGACAACAAAATCAATCAAAAAGAAAACAACCGACAGAGAGAGAACAACAAGACAAAGACGGAACAATAGATCACTTGAAAAAGGCACTCTGGCGGAAACAGCTGTAGTGATAATAATTTAAAACAAATTTTATGGAAGTGTTAAAATAAAAGTTTTCATTGTTACATATATAAAAAATGACAAGAAACAAACACAACTATCTCCTATGTTCGTTCAGCAAACCTATTAGCAATTAATGCACATATATATTGAGTGTGTGTGGTATATGAGAACAAAGGTTATTCAAACATGCTAAACATTTAGGGGATGTACCCCTTCAAAAAACAATAACAGTGCACTGCCCTGTTACATGTAGAAGAAAAAAATAAAAATAATGACAGATATGTTTCCTTTTTCATCCGCCTTCTATTAAAAAATAATCAGAATTGTAATTGAAACTGCCGTGGCAGAAAAAATATAAAAACTACAGTGAATTTCTGCTTTCACCACGATTAAATTCGAACTAATTTGGACTAACTTGAACTTGCAGAAGACACACCAACTCCTGCCAGGAACTACTTGATCAACAAACATCATCCATACCGGCAAAGAGCCGGTAACAGCGGTATGCCGTTGAATTCAATCTGATTTCTCAAGATCTCAAGCAGGAATCGGAAGCACTTAATAGATCAAAATGCCAGACACAGACCAGCCAAAGGCAAGACTATCTGTTCGATTATCTGTTCCCGGCAAAACAACACTCCCGCCTGGGATCTGATTAAATTTCGTTTTTGTAAATGTATATTTTCGTCAATGTAAACAAACATTTATCACTTCGTTAGCAGCAATTCCAATTCAAATAAATGATTGGATTTTGTTTATTCCAAATAAACATGTGTTTTTGGAAATGTGTTTTTCTTTGAAGATTTTTTTAAAATGCACATTAACAGCTTATTTAGAATGAAATTTAAAATACGTGAATTAAAACTTAACACAGAACGGAATTTAAAAATGTTACACTTTTGTTCAAAAAGCTATGTATGATACACCTTACGACTGGTTGATGGATAAACCAAAAGCATACAGGCCCATATGGCTAGGTTCTATACCCAAACCTGACAAATGATAAGCTGATCTTATAAGCCTGAGACTGATAAGTCTGATGTCACTTGTACTAAATAAGAACTTTAAAAAAACTGCTTGATAGTACTCGATAAAGTACTATTTCAAGTGGACATATGCCCACAAGAGGGATGGGGTAGAGGAAACGAGAAATACAACCAAGATTGCCGGGTTATACCTGTTACACAAATGGATCTAAAACTGCAGAAGGGTCATGTGTGGAAATATTTAGTAGTAATGGAAAGGTAAACATTTCTTTTGCGTTAAGAGAATATACCTCTATATTATATGCAGAGATTTATGCAATATATGGATTATGCAAGAGAAAGTATGATTAATGCTTTTGAACTAAAGCGGATCAATACTCACAGATAGTCAAGGGTCATGGGGGATCTTAGAAGCTTAAGCAAGTGTGGAAATTTCCGAGAACAACTCGACAGACTGGTGGAACATAATAGTGTCACACTGGTATTGGTTCCAGTCACCGTTAAACACAAGGCAATGAAAGAGCTGATAAACTTACCAGAAGAGAATGAACTATAAAAGTGCCAAAAAACACCATCCACGTTCGGAAAAAAGCCTGGATCCAATTACGATACAATTCGTATTAAGTAAGTATACCCCATCAAGCACATGACAAAATGTATATTGGACAGATATACGCTAATATGGCTGAAATATAGCGGAAAAAGTATCAATCAGATCAGGGTCATCACAGGCTTCCCTACTGGACATATGCCAGTGAAGGAACACTTGGATACAATGGGGCTATTTTATGGGGACTTAAACTGCAGACACCGTAGCACAGAACCTGAAATGGTCAACCATATTTTGAATGATTGTGAGATATTAGATCGTAATTGATAAACACTTTTTGGAGACTGCCAAGTGACTCCAAAAACATATGGTTGTCCATATACTTCTTCTTCTTTGTGTGCCGTGCTTGTATTCAAGCGTTGGCTATCGTCATATTGACAAGCTGATGAAATGATTCTCGGTCGGCAGCTAGATGAAACAGTTCCTCGACCGTTCGACCTGTCCATTGTCTAATGTTACGCAGCCAGAACAGTTGTTTTCTTCCGACCCAACGTTTTCCTTCGATTTTGCCCTGAACGATTAACCGGAGTAAGCGATATTTAGGTCCTCTCATTATATGACCGAAGTATTGGACCTTTCCCATTTTGATGATGTTGATCAATGCTCGCTCTTTGTGCACGGTCTCTAGCACACGTTCGTTAGATATGTGTGCTGTCCACGGGATTCTGAGCATGCGACGGTAACACCATAACTCAAACGCTTCAAATTTGTTAAGATTTTTTATTTTTGTTATCCAGATTTCACATCCATAGAACAAAGTGGACCAGACGTAGCACTTCAATACTCTTAGACGTGTGGTCAACGACAGACTTCTACTGCATAATAAATAACGTCAGTTAATAAAGTTTTTCCGTGCGAGTTCTATTCTGATCGAAATTTCCTCGTCACTTTCAACCCTGCAGTCAATCCAACTACCATCCATCCTTTCCAGGGTTTTGTTATCTAATCTTAGTACTAAGTCTTCGATATTAATTTTTCCGATTACCATCCATTTTGTTTTTTTTTGCGTTGATTGCTAAGCCCTTTTCAGTGCATTTGTTGTTTACAGCATTCAACAGGGTTTGAAGATCTTCTAGACTCTCTGCCATTATTGCGGTGTCATCGGCGTATCTGATGTTATTAATAATTTCATCACCAATCTTAACTCGTTCGCGGCGATTATTTAACGCTATTTCAAAAACTGGTTCAGTGTAGACATTAAAAAACATCGGTGACATAACACATCCCTGTCTGACACCACGTTTAATAGAACTTTAGCATAGGCATTAAACAACATGGCGACATAACACATCCCTGTCTGACACCACGCTTAATAGAAACTTTAGCTGAAACCTCTTGGTTCACCTTAACACAAGCGGTCTGATCCATATACTAGCAGGTACAAAATTCTAAAATTCTGGAATGGGTCTCATAAATAAATGAAAGTCATCAAAGCAAGTAAAAGACAATCGTTGAAACTGACGTTAAATTATTGTGCACTTTATTTTATATGCAGTGAAGCAGCCTTCTCTAAACAATTAAGTATGGCCACAACATCATCATCATCATATATGTCATCATATATTTTTGATGTTTTCATTATTGCCTCATATTTAATACTATATCACATTTCAGTATACAGAAGCCATTAATTTATGCATGAAACATAACGTCCAACTTACCGAAGATCTCGCAGAAAAGCTAACACCATCTAAGGACCTGGTTGATGAAGATACCAGAGAAACGGTTTTGGAAACTTTAGCTGAGAGTCTTATGGTTCAAGGAAACTATCATCTAGCGACAAAGAAATTTACTCAAGCTGGTGATAAGGTAAGTTGATAAAGAGTGCTGTATATATTTTATGTAAGTTAAAGTGAAATCTTTAATACAAATAATAAAATATTAACTATATAAAGAAATAAGATTTGATATATAGATAAATAGAAATATGTGAGTTTGTTTTTATTATTTTGACTTATTTTTTTTTATTGAGTTTAATGTGTCGACAACTAATGGTCATTGGCATAGTACAGTGAATTTTTACAGTCAGGTACCTAGTGTAGTGTGTGTGTAGGTGTAGAGTAGTCTTGATACTTAGCAAAGTCGACGTCATTGTCTTTGCTAAGAGACGCTAATTATATCCGAACGTCTGCCGTCCCTCCGGTGAGTGCCGATCGCACAAGGATAGAAATTATTTTTATTTATTAATTGTTAATAAACGAAAATTTCTCCACCCAGGTGAGATTCGAACTCACGACCTTTACGTTCAAAGGTAGGCGCTCTTACCACTGAGCCACAGAGAGGGTATTTTGACTTATACCCCTTCTGTTTTTATTTACTGTTTTTTTTAGTAATGTTCAACTTTTGTTTTATTTTGACTTGTTCTTGACTGTTCTTTCTCAGTAGTAGGTCTGAATATCCAACTATTGTATTAGTTTTTAGATAAGCGTCCTACAGATTTTTTACTCTTTACTTCTTTATAATTCAGTACATCTCTCATTTTTTTATAGGCTTGATGTATATTATCCATAAAATATAAATTCATGTAGGTTTTGCAAAGTTTCATCCATTGCCACGTTTTTTAAATTCTTGATTCATTCTCAAAATTTGCTTTGATTTTCTTGCTAAGTTTCTGATATATATGCCTGATTCAATATTTTTTATTTCATCACTTTATCCATTACCTATCATCATTATCATTTCATTAATTCTACTTACTCCTTTGATATCAGTACAGCTGAGGAGTCTTTTATGGAGATATTGGTATGGTATAATTAAGTGCAGAGTGTTAGGTAAATAGCCAGAGCCTCTCTTTGCACCACTACCAAAAAAAGTAGACTTACCAAAGGCAACCATTTTAGTTATCAACTCGATGGACCCATATACTTAAGATCTTTTTGCGGATAATTTCAAACCTAATATTTCTTTTGCATATTCTTCGTTTGCTTATTACTTCGTGGTAAATTGTGTTTTTAGCAAACTACACAAACAGAAAATTTTCTGACCATTTTGTTTAAATCGTTTTTCTATATAACATAGTCTAAGTATGACTTGATTACTGAACGATCTGCCATCTGAATGTACTATAGCTGAAGCACTAGATATTAAAAGGATATTAAGAGATTGGCATCCTATTTCTTCGGCTGTCTTAGTTTTTAAAAGTCTTAACTAAACAAACTTGTGTAATTGTAAATCTGTAGCTTCTTTGATGTTCCAAAAACCAAAGCTATTGATATCGATGACATCGAAAGGTAAAATGTATCTTGCGTAAGTAATAACGTTGCTCCAATCCTCCGGCACGAATGCTTTCATAGTTTTTTTCCGTTTTTTATTAGGGCAAAATCCTTGTCACAAGGCAGGAAACTGTGCTCGGTTACCAAAAATCTTTGCTCTATAGAATCGTATACGCCATTAAAAACCAAAAACATCAACAACAACAAAATAAATTTATTTTTATTTTGGTCACCACACTTCGTCGTTCCAAATAAGGATGTCCTTCTAGTCCTGTTAGTAAAGCCACTATTTAAGAAACGCAGCAGGCACGACACAATTTTGTGTGCGCCACGTTTCGACAATCCTTCGTATCCATTCCAAAGTTTAAACAGGAAAGCTGTGTCAAGTAGAAAATATCTGAGTGAACTAACGTTGGCACAAAGATGACCTTTTCTAGATCCATGGAAAAGCAGCAAACCTTGCTGCCAGGTTGTTGTGAATCTATTGTATTTTGCTTGATCAGTTCTCTTGATTGTTCAGCTTTTTTCTGGAGAAGTGCTAGCTCACATTTTGACTGATGGCTACTATCTTTATTTATACGGATTTCACAGTACAATATATCACAGGTGTGACATGTATCCATTCGAGGTCGTCGAAAAGACAAATTTGAAAATTCGCTTTTGAAAACAGATATATAGAATTTATAAGTTACTTTAGTATCTAGATATCGCTCTTATAAGCTCTGTACAGTGTATTATTATTTAAGTCCGGGCTTAGGTATTCTTTACTGGACTTTGCCCGCGTACAATGACCAACATCGCAGTCATCACAGCGATCATCTTCAGAATATATAACGATTTTTTATGAGAAGTCCTATTATCTGAGAAAGAAGTTTCGCAAAGTTTCTTTTTATTTACAAGAACCTCCAGATTTTTTCTTGTTACAGCAAAGGTATTCATGAATTTATTCTTACACACTTCAGCAAAGGCTCCATCTTCATTGGGCAGGGTTTAGCTTACTGTTGTTTGACGTCTACTATCTCCCGGAACCTCATAGTTGTACAATTAAATTTGCACTTACAAATCACCTAAAAATAAAAAAATATATAAAGTAAGACAGAGTGCAACATGATTATGTTACAAACCTCCTGTGTTGACAACGTATTGCGTTTGGTGCTGTATCTTTACATTTTCTAGTTTTATATGCTTTATCAGCCTCTTTAAATTGTGTTTGTTCCTTGCAAAAGCTGCCAGTACCATTACTTCTTCGAGTTTTGATAGTCTGGGACTTTGTAAAGCAAAAGGCAAGACACATTCCACTGGCGCCATCTTAAGTCCTTATACAAAGTTAAGTATTAGGAATGGCACCTAGCGCCTTCGTTAGTATATACGTAGAGCATGACACATAAAACCTTTCTATGGCACTAACTCAAAATCAAAAGTTTTGGCAGTTAGCACCTATGTAACTTTCACTCTTCAGTTTATCTTAGGATAACTTACCAAACAGTGATACAAAGATAGGTAAAGATTATAGAGAATATAACTTTCAAGTCGCAGTGTATAAAGGTCTACGGTGCCAAATGACCACTTTACTTTGTAAAATTTATTTATTCACTTCACTTTTTATTCATTTTTTGCTAATACTTAAAGAACTGTGTTCAATATTATTTAAGCTCTATAAGTTTTCGGTTGCCTTTTGTTATTTTTAATGTTAGAATTGCGATGCTAATTTTTCCATTCTTCTTATGTATTCACTGCTGGAAGATATTATAAAATAAGTAAAAAAAACCTAAGCTACAATTAACAATTTATTTTAAAAATATTTAAACTTTTTACAACATTAGTAATATAAATTAATATTGCTTTTAGATAAAAGCCATGAAGGCTTTATTGAAATCAGGAGATACCGACAAAATAATATTCTTCGCAGGAGTTTCTCGTCAAAGAGAAATCTATATCATGGCTGCCAATTATTTGCAATCAGTAGATTGGCAGAACCATCCCGAAATCCTTAAGAATATAATAACTTTTTATTCAAAGGGTAAAGCACTGGATTTATTAGCCAATTTCTACGTCGCTTGTGCTCAGGTAAGATATATTTTTTATTATAAATACAATATTGTAAAATTAATATCCAAAAAACACTAACTGACAACAAACAAATTATAAATATACAGCATTGTGCGAATTAATGGAATCATTGTGACTTGATTACTTTTCTCCGTCTTTTACTTGAGGGTGCTTTAGGGCATTTCCCACTATTTGTGTTGTTTTGTAATATTTTGTGTTGTTTTCGCTGATTAGTGAGTTTGTTTCGTTTAATTCCATCATGGATGTTACGCCTAGGAAACGTGAAAAGATTATCACGTTAAGTGAACACACTTCTATGTCGAAAGAACGTGCGGAGTGAGTCAGAGGATAGTAAGCAAGATTTAGAAGCGTAAACGAGATCAACGTATGTAAAAAGGTTAGGAAAATGTGGAAGAAAGAGCAAAACAACACCAGCAGATCAAAGATTTTACTTCAAAAGAGCAAATTGGACCCAAGAAAAACAAGCCAAGAGCTCCAACAAGATCTAGCATCATCAGCTGTAGTGATTCATGACTCAACCGTTCAGAAAAGACTTTTGGATAATGGTAATGCGTCCACAGAAAAAACAGCTCCTAACTGAACAAATGAAGAAACAAAGGCTATTGTGGGCCAGAAAATACTCTAATTGTACTGTAGACGATAGGAGAAAAGTCCTATTTACAGATGAATCTCACTTTATAGTTTAACAGAGCGGTCGAAGTTCGTCAGAAAGTCTGACAATTAAAACCTTATACCATCTCATATTGGTCATTCCGTAAAACATCCAGTTAAAAAAATTTTGGGGATGTTTTTTATAAATGGGGATTGGATATTTGGTACAAATCGAAGGAATGATGAACAGCAAAAATATAAATCCATGTTGAAATAAATCCACAGAACTCCAAAAATGTTAGCTCCAAGGAGGAGGGATTCTTCAACAGGACTCTGCACCCTGTCAGAAGTCAAATGATGGAATTTTTCAAAACAAAAAGCAATAATGTTTTAGATTGGTCCGGTAATTCGCCAGACCTCAACTCTATTGATAATTTATAGGCCATTTGCAAAGCTTTTGTAAAGCAAAGCAAAAGAAAAACGCAAGAGAATGCAGCGAGTACCGCACCATTAGCTTGATGTCTCATGTGCTAAAATAACTACTAAAAGTCATCCATAACCGAATATATCACAAACTGTATATAGACGTTAATGACACACTATTTGGGTTTTCGTAAAGGCCTAGGAACGTGTGAAGCTTTTTTTACTTAATATACTAATACAAAGATGCCTGGACGTCAATCAAGCTGTATACGCATGTTTTATTGACTATAATAAAGCATTCGATAAAGTACGACATGAACAATTAATGAATGTCCTGAAATTAAAGGAGGTTGACTACAACGAGCTCAGGATCACATCAAATTTATATTATAAACAGCGAGCAAAAGTATATGATAACCAACAGCTGTCAGAAAAAATTAAAATTAGACGTGGGTTGAGACAGGGATACGTATTGTCGCCAATTCTCTCCAATGCCTACTCCGAAGAGATCCTGAAAAAAGCTCTTGAGGGTGAAACAGCTGGAATAAAGATAAATGGAGTTCCTATTAACAACAATCGATATGCGGACGACACTGTGATCTTAGCCGAAAATATTGAAGATCTTCAGAGACTGGTGACAAGAATAGCGGAGTATGGAAAAGAGTACGGTCTAATAATGAACGTCAAGAAGACGAAATTTATGAGAATATCGAAAACTCAAAGAAATAACGAGAATCTTCTAATAAGCGGAATCAACGTCGAACAAGTGGGCAAATATGTATATCTGGGAACAATGATTAACTCCACAAATGATTACATTCAGGAGATCAAAATCAGAAGAGAAAAATCTAAAACAAATTTCAACAAAATTAGAAGAGTGCTATGTACAAGGGATTTAAAATTGGAACTAAGAGTTAGGTTGGCGAGGTGCTATAATTTTTCGACTTTGTTTTATGGAATGGAATCTTGGACCTTAAATGCGACATCAATGAAAAAACTGGAATTATTCGAACTGTGGGTGTATAAAAGAATTCTGGAAATATCGTGGATAGAACACGTCACACACAAAGAGGTTCTAAAAAGGATGAATAAAGAAATAGAAATTTTAAATACAATTAAAACAAGAAAATTGGAATATCGCGGACATATTACACGTGAAAAGAAATACACCTTGCTCCAACTGATTATGCAGGGAAAGATTCAAGGAAACAGAAGCATAAGGAGGTGTAGAATGTCGTGGCTGCGCAACTTGCGAAAGTGGTACGGATGTGCATCAAATGAACTTTTCAGAACAGCTGTCTCAAAAGTCCGAATCTCCGTCGCGGAGATGGCACTTAAAAAAGAAGAAGAAGATTTGCAAAGTTTACTGTACTACAAAAATAAAAATTATAGAATCCCAGATATCTGGGAACTGTTTGAAGCTCGTAGAATCTATGCCAAAACGGGTAAAAGCAGTAATTGCAGCCAAAGGGGGACATATCTCCTACTAATGATGTAAGATTACCTTTATAGTTTTGTCAAAATATAATTTTTTTCTAAATAAACTGTTTTTGTCATTAAAACAGCGTATGATTCCATTCTCGCACGGTACTGTAAAAAAAGTGGAATAATATAAAAAATATATGACTGAAAAAAGCTCAAGAAAGTTTGACACAACATTAGCCAGAGGCTAAAAAATAATAGATGACAGAAGAAATATTACTACAGATAGAAGAAAGAAGGAAATATACAGGAAAAGATCTACAAAAAAGTATAAAGAAATACAACGAATGATCAAAAAAATCAAAACAGCTAAGAAAATGGATTTGATGGACTAAATAAATAAAAATAATATAGAACTAGAAACAAAATATGATATGAGAAATATGCACAAAAAATAAGAAAAGTAATCGAATTGGGTCAAAAAGACAGCAAGGACACGCAATACACAAGAAAGGAGCACTGCTAATAGATTTCTCCAAAAAATTAAGAAGATGGGAAGAGTACGATATAGAACTTTTCCAAGACGAAAGAGGTGAAATGCAGGAAATACAAGAATTAAATCCTTTAGAGAGACAGAAGATCACGATAGATGAAGTCAAATATGTTTTCAAAAACTCTAAAGACAATAAGGCAGCTCAATTAGATAAAATATTAATAGAACTGTTAAAACTAGTGGAAGAGGTTTACGATACAGGAGTAATGCTACAAGAGTGGATGAAGTTAGTGTTTATAACCATCCCTAAAAAACAAGCAGCAAAAGAGTTCTCTGATTATCGAACACTGAGCATCATGAGTCATATTTTAACTTTTTCAGAAATGGCAGTGATGCATTTGATTCTGGGTAAGTTTCAGCAGGCTAAATTAGGGTTTTAGATATTCTTCTTGATGTGCCTATCCGTTACGAATGTTGGCGATCATCATGGCAATCTTTATCTTATCTGCAGCACCGCGGAAACGTTGGACAGATGTTGTATTGAACCAGATTCTGACGTTCGTCAACCAATATGTTCTTCTTCTTTAAGGACCTCGCTTTCCAAATATTTTTCCTTACAGGATGGCTTGAAGGAGAGCATATCTGGATTCATTTCGCATAATATGCCCATATGGGTTTTAGATAATTATTGGTAACTATGCAGAAAATTATCCTAATCGAAATATACCAGCCAGACGAATATTTCTTACCATTGATCGTCGTTTACAAGAGTCCGGCACATTGCGCACAGCAACTTGTTGGTAATAATGGTCAACCAAAAGTAGATACAACCTATGAAGAGGTTTTGGAAGCAATTGAAGAAATCCCTGGAAGCAGTACGAGAGTAGTACTGGATCAATTGGATATTTCTCACATGATGATTTGGAGAAGATTCAAGGAACGGAATTTTATTCTTATCACTTAACACCCGTTCAAAAATTACTGGGTGAAGAGTATCCTAAAAGGGTGGGGTTGTGCGATTGGTTTTTAACGGAAAACACACAAAATGTCAATATTATTAATCATGATTTGTTTATCGACGAAGATACATTTAACAGAAATGGCATTACGAACCATCACAACACGCACATGTCAGCCGAAGAAAACCCTCACGTATAAAAAAGTCTCTCATTACCAAAGAAATTTTAAAGTCAATGTTTGGCCAGGAATTGTGGATAATAACCTAATAGGGCTAGTATTTATTCCAAACAATTTAAACAGTGAAAATCATTTACATTTTCTACAAAACGTGTTACCAGAGTACTTAGACGATGTCAATCTCGCTGTCAGGAAAAATATGTGTTTTTTACAGGATGGCGCTCCAGCGCATTACCATGACGAAATAAGAGAATATCTTTTCGATCAGTATCTTGGACGTTAGATTGGAAGGGGCCCTGATGCTCCTATTTCTTGGTCACTCAGAGGTGCAGATCTTAACCCAATTGACTTTTGCTTCTGTGGTTTTATGAGAGAATACGTATATTCCGTACCAACTATGAAGAGCAATATCTAAGAGATACAATCATGAAAGCTGCAAATCGATTTCGTTGGTCCATAATTTTACAAAATATTCGATTTTCCTTTTTAAAACGGTGTCGAATGTGTATTTAAGAAAATGGAGATCATTTTGAACATTTGTAAAATCTACCAAATATTGGTAAATGGTTGAGTAAGATTATAGAGTCCTGGTAATAATATGCAAATTTATTTGTATTTTAGATTTTGTTTGATAGGTACTCAAAAATTTTCAAGTACATTAAAAAAGAAGTCGCATCTCGATAAAAACTGTTGTTTTAAAGTTTTAAAAAATTGTGTTTAACGAATGGTATCACAATCATAATTCAATGGGAACGTATTCAAACATTTGGGGGTGTTACTTTTTTTATGTGCACATTTGTACTATATTTATGACCTACCTTTTTGTTACACTCTATATATACATAAATTGTTGAGACAAGCAATGCATTGATTTGAGTACTATTTTAATAATTAGTATTATAATAATACTTTTTATCCAACATAGGATTGA